GGTGGGTTGAAAGAATGCTGCAGTTCTTGAAATTAATTTGCGAAAAAGCATTCACAGCATTGATTCCCTAATTTAGTCCTTCAACAGGAGACCTTCACCCTACGTTTTACAGTGCCTGAGCAATACTGTCCATGTCCAGTAAACACTGTAAGTTCCTTGGGACAAGCACTTGTTTTTCCTGCATTGCATTTTTGTGCGGCACGGAGCACAATAATAAAAATAGTAAAGCAGCTGTGTTGTCAAACAAGGATTCTTTAAATCTCTCCTGTGTAGCTGGTAGCCATCAAGTATGGCTTCTTTCAACTTTTACCACTGCTGACATGCCAGCATCAATCTGTTCTTCCAATCTGTGCTGGTCGGTTGGTCAGTTTGGAAAAGGGACTCTTGCAAATAGAGGACACAGATGCAGTTCTACAAATTAGACAAATGATGCAAAGAAGCCTGGGAATAAAGGACAAAAGCCACATCATAATGTCTGCAGTTGGTGAAGCTTTTTGGTTTGAGGATGTCTGGGCAGCAATGCTCATGGGCTGCAGAAAAAGCCACTTTTAAGTAGTATGCAGCTTTATTCAGTCCACCAATATTTTTGTGACAGCCGTTCTTCTTCAGAGAAGTATTTGTTCCTTCAAACGAAAATGCTTTTGTTCCAATGGAGGCTCCCCACAGGAGGCAGTCTGGGAATGGCCGCTCTGTTTAAAATTGGATGCGTTACGGTCTGTACCTTCTGCTGCAAATTGGCTCCGAGTGCAAGTGTGTGTGTCATTTTCATCGATTGCCTTTCAAATATCACTAGCCACCAGAGTTTCATGCTAAAATCCCGATCCCACCAGCGGCCCTCCAAGAAGCCAGGGGGAAATCTGCAAACAAAGAGTTCACAGGATTGGGCACTTTACATGTAACATGTTGCCTCTCTCTCACTGCATAGAAGCTTGAAATGAATGCAAATGAAAAAGATTTTGCCAACTCACTAATGGGACTGTTTAAACTAGGAGCTGAGGGAAAGCTGACAGGTGCCAAGGAACACTCAGGTGGGACAAAAATCTGGTAGGGCTCTCAGAGACACAAAGGTATCTCTGTACACAGAGAAAGATGGAACCGATGTCCCATCAGCAAGGATCACACCACTGTCTCTCTAAGCTACTAGACAGGTCTATAACTCTCTACTGTTCATTCCTAACAGGCCTAAGAGACACGTCAGGAAGCCTGATTCTCTAATTGCTTCCCTTTTTAACTTTTCAGAATACAGTTTTCATTCCCAAATTGATGCCTCTTGCATCAAAACATTTTCAGATATATTATGTTCATGTATCTACTTCACGGCAGAGTTCAAAAAAAACAAACAAACCCCAACAACAACATACCAGGCAAACCCCAAACCACCCACTAGATTTTTTTTCCCCAGAAAGAAAAAGATAAATTTTTGTAATGTAATTATTTAGGAAGTTTTAACAGGTTTACAAATCATTGCGATGTAAATATCTAAAGTGTTAATCATTACAACATTGAGCTGATCTTTTTGCTTAGAGAAACATTATGCAGTAATATAATCATCAGATCTCTCTGTTTAACAGAGTATTATCATATTACAGAGTGAGCCTCTTTCTGCCACCCAAGCTGAGTTATTTCTGGGGATTTTATTAAACTGAGTGAAACGACTGACTCTACTCATATTTATCAAACCCTGCATGCCTGTCGAATGTTAACATTCAAAATAATTGGACAGGTGTGCTGGGGGAATGGGGGGTTGGCAGTATCAAAGTACTTTTAGTACTGAATAAACAGTATCTAAATATCTAAGTATTTATCTGTCCTCTGTCAATTTTGCTGGGTATCTAATTGATGCATTGAGTTTTTCCATAACAACAATCTCCCATATGTTTTGGAACCATTCCTCTAATTTTTGGCTATTTTTCTTTTCCCATGAGAGGTTATCAGTAGTCTAGCAGCTACTAGGAGATGAGATGCATTTTCCCCCTGTTTGAGTGTGTCCATTTTCCCCAGGAAGCCCCTGGGGAAAGGTTACAATCTTAAATTAATGATCATTTTGGTGAGCAGATCTATCGCTCTGGATCAAACAAAGAGGGTAGGAAGAGTAAGTGAAGTCAACGTGAAGTTGAAGACAACGAGGATGAGGTTGTGCTGTGAGGAAAAAGGGAGCGCAAAGGAGTCAGAGAGGAAGATGGATGGGGAGGACTCAGGGGCAGTAAACGGTGGCTACATGGAGGGGGAGTGGAGATAAGAGGCAGGCGGAGTGTTGTTTGAAGAGAAAGAAAGAGTGGTAAGGGTTGGAAGCAGCAGAAGAGAAGCTCTACACCTCACCTCACTCCTTTGCGGACTACTTGAGGTGGAGCATGTGAGAGGAGAAGAGGTCACTGTGAGAGTGCAGCTGCAGCGACAGTGTCAGGAGAGGGGATCCAAGGTCCCTGTAAGTGCCAGGAGATAGAAGGAGAAGGAGACCAAAAAAACATGGATGATGGTGATCTTTGAGATGCAGTGTGTGTAACCACTGGGTATTTCAGAGGGAGCAAGAGAAGAGGAGGACAGGGAGAAGGCTTGAAAGGGAAGGGCTGGAGGTGGTGATGGGACAGGGTGCAGGAAATGGGACTGGAGGGGATGGAGGCTGGGTCAAATATTGCACAGAGGAGGAAGTGGAGGTGGAATTTGTGGTGGTGAGAGGGGGTGAGGAATGGGCAAAGGGAAGGGGAGAACAAAAAGGGAGAAGCATGGAGATGGCGGATGCAACTGAGGAGTGGGGAAGGGAAGCGGTGGGAGGAAGGGATGACAACACAAAAGACAGGTATCAAGAGAGCGAAGAGGGAGTAGTGGCAGAACATGGTTAGGAAAGAGCAGCCTATGGGGTTGACAGGAGCACATGCTCAGCTAATGCAGACAAGAGCAATAGAATAAATAATGGAACCAAAGACTGTATCATAATGTATATGCCCAGAGGCAGAGTTAAGGCTGGACATGGACTGGAACTGTGGCATTTCACCAGCTTTTGAGCACTTCAATTTGCAGCTGTAATATTTTTTACACAGATTGTTCTACATAAAAAAACAAAAACAAACAACACCTGAGCATTTCTTATTTTGTTCCTGGATCAGCTCTGGATATTTGCTCTGCCTGTAAGAGGGCTGATTTTGTGCAAAATTCTGGCTGGTTTTCTTGCATTTTCTAGAGGATTTCTAGATTAAGATTACCCTGGTTTCATGCTATTGAGCAACAGCTGAGCTTTCTAAAATAATTTCTTCTGAACCCAACAAAGGCTGTGCTGCAAGGCTGCGAACCTTTCCCCTGAGGATAACTGGGGATGAAGAGTGTTTACTCCAGCATCTGCCTCGTAAGGAGGGTCATGGCAAGCAGGGGCAGAGTGCAGGTAAGGGGCTAGGGAAAGTCAGTTCTGGATGGAACGGTCCATGACTGTTCCATTTCAGAAGGCTGAATCTACGTAGAAGGAGAAATCTCTCTTTAAAAGCCCTGCCAAGGAGGTAATAAATGTATTGAGAAAATATTTGATGTTACAGAGTTTCTGATTGTCTTTTACACTTACATTTTTCGTGTATTGGAATTGTTTCACCAAGCAATGAAAACAAACTAAGCACAGTTATTATGCCTTTGGCTGCAGCCGGGGAATCCTTGGCAATAGCCACTGAATGGAAAGAAGGCAGTTTTGGATACTGGCAGGGTTAGCGTAACACAAAACTGAACACTAGCTAGAAAAAGTCAGGTGGGATATTAATTTAACGGCTCCCTCAAAACACGATGTTTTCTGGACTAAGACTTGATAGTAGGTTTTTGCTGGGACGTTTGAACAGCTGATAAGGGTTTCACAGAAGTATTAGTTTATCTTGTAGGACTTCAGCAAGCCAGAGATATCTACTCTTTCAACCAGTTTTGCACCCACCGTCCAGAATTTCATCTAGACCTCACATTCCTAGTTTACTTATGAGAATGTCATTCGGGACTGTGTCAAAAGCCAAAAGTGCATCCCCCTTCTACTAGGCCAGTAACCATGTCAAAGAAGAAAACCACACACACTGCAGCCTCACTTAGGTGTCCAGACACCTACCTCATACCTAAGCCCCAGTGAGATCATAAACCAGGACAAGATAGGTGGAGGAGCCGTACAATGTAAGTGCATTTATTTCAGTGAGGCTATATCAGCAATTAATGTGACCCCTCAGAGAAGCAGGGTTTATAGACAACTCTGGCTGCCAATACATGGACATAGTGATGTGCCTGGTGAGAGACTTCAGCTTAGCGAAGAAAGCAACATATTTTTAAGGATCTAGAACTAGCAAAATACACATTTTGTGAGAGCTGGGGAGGGTATTGATGGTGCTGGTGGTGAATGTTATTCTTAATCGACACAATTCTTTAAACTCAAATGTTATGCTTACTTTTGATAACAATTTTTATTTAACATGTTTACAGGTTTTTAAACCACCTCTTGTGGAATTTTGCACAGCAAAACTTTTTAAAATCCCTAATAAATAAATAAATAAATAAAAACACAACACTTGTCAGGGATGGTCTAGGTATTCTTGGTCCTGCCTCACTGTGGGGGAAGGCCCAGATGACCTCTCAAGGTCCCTTCCAGCCCTACATTTCTATGATTTCTATTAAATTATTAGTATTAATGTGATACACACCAAGTTACGATGCCCACTGCCAAAAAGAACATGGAATAGCTAATGTAAGACATCCAGTTCCTTCCAGAAGTAGCATATACTGGCATTACAACGAATGCCAGATGAGATCCCAGCACTGTGATAATCATCAGCTGTACCATCATTAAGGACTTATTTAAAAAAAAGTAACACTTACTAAAAACAGATCAGCAACAGATGATAACTTGTGGTAATCATGACAGTACAAACCCAAGAAAGTACCAAACTGGTGATTGGCTACAAAGACGACATGAAATTTGTTTTTCCTTCAGTAAAGTAGTTGTCCATGCACAAGGAGGAACCCAGTAAACAACTGCTCAGATGTATTACCTCTTTGTTAGTGACTCCAGGGGGTAAAGTCCCATGTTTATAATCCTCCAGCAACTGCACAGCTTCTTTAAGACGACTCTGCAAATACATAAAACAATAAAGCATGATCAGTAACATTTGTTCTGCACTGACCACGTTAGACTGAAGGCTCTGAATCTATGTTACAGGACCACGTGCAAGTCTTAAACCACACTTCTTTATGCAAGCCTCAGGATAGGTGTATTTTTTATATATACACATACACATTTAGCACATGTATCTGTATTTGATTTATATTATCAGCTTCTTGAGACAGGGACTGCATCTTCCTCTTTGTTTGTACAAGTATCTAATAATTATGTGGGATACACAAAAGAACAAGGAATGCTGGCACAAACGGTATCAGAAAGTCTATTCAGCTGAAGTCTTCTTAATTAGCGTGATAAATCTGATTTACTATCTCATGAAGGAGGCTGGATTTATGATGCAGCTAGGGAAATACTTTTTTGAAGACAAATGACCTACTCAGGTGCAATGGACAGTGCATTTATGAGGAATCAATTCATACCTTGCACCAAACTCTGAACTCCAGACACCTTCAAAACACCCACTGAAGTGAAAAGGAGTTTTGCCTACATAAGGACTAAAGGACTGAAAAATACGGTAAAGTAAATTCAAGCCCTCAAGAACTGCAGTAAGAGGCACTAGCCCATATAATTAATCTGTATTATTAAAAGAAAACACACACACACTATACACACACACACACACACACACACACACACACACACACACACACACACAGAGAGAGAGAGAGAGAGAGAGAGAGAGTGGTCACCCTTAAAAATTCAACATCTACCAACAATTATTAAACAGCACGTTTGATTCTGATCTCAGCTACATCAGTGTGGAGCAGGATAACTCCACTGAAGTCAATGCTGTTTCTGCTCTCAAATGGGTGTACCTTCACTGAAATCAAGGCAGTTATCCTGCTTGACACCAACATAAAGGAGATCAGAATCAGGCCCCATATATCTGAGATACAATAATATTTTCATATACTTCAGAACTGATTTAACTGTGCTATCTTGGGTACCAACATGTGGTAGCTGTTGGCAAATGTTGGTATTTTAATGATGACCACTATATTGTCTATATACATATTTGGGCCAGATTTTCAGAATCAGTGTTGGCATCTTTCTGCTCCCACTGAAGTTAACGAGAGTTTGATTGCTGAAGTTAATGAGATCAGAATTAGGCAAGAGCTGAGGCCTTTTGAAAATCCCACCCATTATGCACACATAAACACATACAGAAATAAGCAACTTCCTCATGTTGCACTAAAAGGCAGTTTTTAAATATCTCATGCATTCAAATTATCACAAGTATTGATATTCATGTATTGTTGAATCAAAAAGTCCCATTGGTTCCAGAATATATACCCATATTTAAAGGGGAAGGATAAGCTTGCAATTAAGCACTGGACTGAGACTCGCAGGCCAATTCTTTTGATGTCTGGTCATAAAAAGGGGAAAGTAATCGCCACTCAATTAATCCAAAATGCAGAACAACAAGTCAGGCCGTAAAGGCTGGCTTCAGCGGAGGCCACTGCTTTTCCAGTGCCCTGCCAAACCTGCAGTGAGGCTGCAGAAAATGTCAACGGACTAGGGAAATATTTCTCATTTATTTAAAAACAAAGACAATTCATATTATTTGCCTGGATGATGGATTCCCTGCAGGAACCTTCATGTTTTTAAATGTTACTGTCAGGCTTGTTTAGTTGAACATCCCTGCACTAACTGTTACAACGATTATTTCTAGATAGGGATGCTTTATAAATATATTTTTTTTTTTGAACATGATGAAATCTGATTATAACCTACCTAGGTACTTATGGCCCTTTCCATTCCAATGGAAAGGGCCATAAGTACCTAGGTAGGTAGGATATCATAGATCCTCACAAACATTAATAAGCTTGTCCTTCCAAAAATTAGGCAAGTATCATTACAGCAAATCTTGTTCTTCTATAGGCTGGGCTAATTGCTGGCAGATTATTAGTGCCTTTTTGTTGCAAACATCAAAGAATACTTTGTTGTTTTCTTGGAAATGCCAGCAGCTAGGCCAACCCGAAACGGGCAATAAATGAATGACTAGTGCTTTTCAAGCGTTCAGTACATAAATGCATTAATGAAAAAGTGGCAATCCCAGCATTCTACAGAGCAAATGTGTTGTGGATGGATTAATGCCCATTTTTGCATACACTAACCTAATTCCATATATAGCCACATATTTTTGGCCTTGGTATTACATTTCGCATTGGCTTACATTTATCAGCAGTGATTCAACACAAGTGTAAAAGTGAGTAGTCTTTGCAAAGACACCTAATGAGGTTTAATTTCAGGAGACATGAAGAAAGAAAGAATTCAGGAAATGTGAACCCTAGATCAAGCGTCTTCTCTTTAAAGCTCTGCCGTGGAGGTCAGTCACGGTTACCGGGCTACCTGCACTGCTGTCCCTGCTCTGGATTTGCCTGAGAGCATCTCCACCGGTGACAAGCTGCTTCTCGTGGGGTGGAATCACCCGATTCTCCAACTCTTAGACCAGAGCCTGGGTTGCAGACTCCTGTGCTCACCAGGATTACCTCAGCAGGTCTGACTTCAGATAGGCACCTGCAGTTTTGCCCCTCGGGAATTGTGACAGTGACCACGCAGCCTTGTCAAAACAAAGTATTGTTTATTCTTAACAGTCGGAACACCAAACAGCACGAGACAGCAAGGATTTGAAAACAATTAAATAGCTTAAACACAGGCATATCTACATAGCACTTACCACTCCTGTATCCCTCCCCCCACAGTGTTAGCCAGGTACCCCAACTTCTTCAGACTCCTGCCACAGAGACTGTCTCTGTCTCAGCCTGTTCCTTGAATAGCCCCCATCAACTGACCCTGCTTTCTCTCAAGAGAGGTCTCTATTTAGTATCCTTTTGATCTTAAGCCCCCCCAGCCCTGGCAGAATAAGCCTTTCAAATTTGCTGGAGCCACAGCAGGAAGTCCCTTCCTAATTATTAGCCCAGCCATTGTTCTTGCAATGGCCCTTGAAGTATTTGCCCTAGAGATATTTTATTTCTAGTCTTTGTTTTATGGAACAGTCCCTTTTGACTCAGCTCCAGGAGGCAGATCACAGCCCTTACAGCAGTCGGACAATCACAGAGCATTCAGGGCATTTGTAAGTTAATACAGAGCAGCCTTCGTGTCCTCCACTGTCACTCAAATGTTTTGTCATCCATATATATTCATTTAAGGCAAGTTTTATCAGTCACATTACCTGGTAAACTCAAGTCTCTTTTCAAAAAGCACTAGCCTCATCTGAAACCTCCTTGCCCCCCGCCCACTTTGTCTGGGAGGTTCTAGAATCACTGGACTTATATTTGATCTTGGTTTGGTTTGCTGACTTAATGAAGATAGACTCCAGCAATATGAAGTCACCCTAAACTAGCAGTGTGTTCACTCCGTTCATTGGGTGGGACTGGGATGCTTTGGGACAGGCAGAAGTACTGGAGAGAAACACCACACCCTGCTCCAAAGACTAGGGATTACGTCAGTATCCAGGCTCTGGAAAACTGCAGACACACAACTGGAACCCACCACAAGGTATTTAAAAAATAATGAAACGATCCTCCTGGAATTAATCATCCAGAGATTTAACTTTTCACAGTCAAGCAGCTTTGATGTGTGAGCGAGGGGAGGAGAGTTTGGGTCCTTTCCTAGCAGGAACTGATTTACTTTACAAAATATACATAATAGTGTCTAGATATGACAACGATGGGCACCTTAAATGCTTACGAGTACGGCTAGTCATATGTCCTGTGGGCAATGCCAGTCACAGATCCCACAATTTTTTACAAATAAAAAAAGGACTGTGCGGAATTATTTGTACTTTCGCTTAAATAAACAACAAGAAAAGTGAGCTTTTTAGCCCTTGTGGTTCTCAGCATAATCTTCCTAAAGGGAAAACATGAGGCAGTGCCATCTTCCTAATCCTTCCAGTAGACAGTGCTTCTGTAGAGCATTCCTCCTTTTATAAAAGTGCTTAGAAATGACAGGAAAGATATAAAACCCTATAATTTAGGAATTATAACAAACTCTATCAAAACACCACCAAGTATAAGAATTTTATCAATATCATGTGCATAGTAAGGGTTTATCCTACCTGAATGAGTTTGATTTATTTATTTATTTATTTTTAAGATTAAAAAGGTACCTCATGTATATGAAAACATATGCAGCCCCTTTTGGGAACGAAGTGGGGAGAGAGCAACTGAGATAAAATTATGACTTTTGCATTTTTTGTCATGACAAAAATTGATTTTTTTCCAATTCATCCCCACCCCAGGCAACACAATTCTGATACTCATAAAGGAAAGGAATATTAAAATGAAACTAAAGAATAGGAGAATCTGATATGGCAATGCTGGATCCAGAGGTGAAAAGTCGAAGACAACTGAATGAATAATAAGTAAAGGACCCAGGGAAAATAACCAATTTTCCCTACAAAGCTCCACAATAAACCAGTATTGCCAGCTCAATATACGGGAGAACATTCATGCTCATTATTAGTACCGGGTTTGGGGGGCAGGGTTTTCCACTGAAATTACCTACACTGTGTGCCTTGCAAATTATCTACACAGAACAGCGTGTAACTTTGAATGAAAGTCTAAAGTAACTAAATGAATGGATCTGTGTTCTATTTTTTTCCTCTTCTCTTGAGGAAATCTTAGTAGTTACTATAACAACCCTGGCTGGATCTCATCTTGTTTAGTACAGCAACAAACAGAAACAAAAAAGCCCAAGTTTTGCTTTTAAACTTGCAGTCTCCTTAAAAGTCTCCTTTTGGCTCAGCAGGCAAAAAATAAATAAGGCTTTATGAAAGGAAAGAGCCTCCAAACAAAATAGGTGAGGGTTGTGAACGATTACAAAAGGCTTAAAAAGAATTTATGAGTGTCCTATAACAAACAATAATGTAAAACACAGTGATCATACTAAGAATATGAAAGGCACTTGGTCTAGAACTGTTCAGATTGTTTTAATAAAATATTAACT